AGGGCACTACATTCTCGGCAACACCAACGCCGAGAGGGAGTTTTGGGAGGAAATGGGTGGAGAAAGGAGTGGCACACGTCAGGGACATCTGGTCGGAAGACACCAAGGAATGGAAGTCGGAAAGAGAACTCCGGAAACTACTAGGGAGATTAAGAGGAGTGGGGGAGAAGCTTCAACATTTAACGGAGGCAATCCCCCAAGCCTGGCAGGAGATTCTTAAACCACCAGTACTTCCTAAAGTCGCGTAGCGTTAACGCTACGCAATTTTAGGAAATGTACGGGCCACTACAGGAGCGCCCAAATTCATCCAACTAGAAACGTTTCTACTCTATTTTTTTCCGCGGCCAATAGCCGGGCCAAGTACTGGTGGTTTAAAGAGGACAACACTTTGAAGATAGGGGCTTGGTACAAGGATATGGATACCCCCGAAGTACCTGACCAGTACTACAGAGTGGAAGAATGTGTGGAAGAGGAGGAGTGGGTAGCCTCGCCGTGGGTTATGGCCCAGTCACAGGAGTCAGAAGGGAATTGAGAAAGGAAGGGCAGAGGATTATTAACCGGGAACAGAACTGGATAGCAGTCAGAGCGGTCATGACACGGGAGATAAATCGGAGAGAAGGATGGAGGGTAATACAGGGAAGGAAAGCAATTACTGAACTCTGTATAGACCCAGGAGCAGTGGTATGGACAGCCACAGGGACAGTAACCACGCTCGCACACTATACATCCAAGCTAGGACGGAAAACTCAAGAAGACCAAGTATCATACATACACGAGATCCGTGACACATCAATGAGACTGCTAAACAGCACCAACCCCCCAACTGAAAGGAAGTGGAAAGAACTGTGTCTCCAATTACACATTCTGCCGAGCCTCAAGTGTTCCGGTTTGCTATGGCTACTGGTGCACTCAGCGATACCTTCTGCAGCATGGTTGGTGAGCAAAGGAATGCAGATTCAGAGTACATGTTCAAGATGAGGAGGCAGGGAGGAAGAAACACTACTACACCTATTGTGGGAATGCCCAGCCTCCAAAAGAATCTGGAGATGGTGGGCTGAACACTGGCAGAAGCTGGCCTCAGCCTTGGTGTGGGATCAGGGATGGGTGATTACGGGGCAGCTACCTCCATTCTTCTTCACAAAACGAGACTGGGGCTATATGGCACAGACCATACGGTCGGCTATCATGTGCGGAATTTGGGAGGACCGCAATGCTGTGCTGTTCAAAGGAGAATGGTCCTCAGACGAGACCATCAAGCGGAAGCTCAAGTCCCAAATACGTACAATGATTGCTGCAGACTGGATTAGAAAGGCAGATAATGGCAGGTCGCAAAGGGGAAGAACATGGTTTTTGTTCACTTGGGCAAGGGGGAATCAGTTGGCAGGAGTTACGGTGGAAGGAAGGTTAGTAATCTCACCTTGGCTAAGGATGTGAATTAGCCTACCCACCTGACCTCTCGGTGGGTTCATCGTGCAGATAGAGGCCGCAGGAGGCAAGGACCAGCCGCAGTTATAGACTGGATCGGAGAGGCATAGGAATAACACACCAGAGCTATTGGAATAGTTGGAGCTCTGGGAGGCCGACATTAGGCCTTGTTTAGGAAGCTTGATTGTGAGCTGGTAGGCGTAGGGGGAAGGAGCAGGGGAGACACAGTAAAATAGAGATACAGAGAACAGGGTGTTAATTAACAATAGCAGGTAGAGGGGAAGGGAGGGAGAATGGCTAGAAGGGGATTAGGGAATGGGACCAGGGAGCTAGAATTGGTTTATAGATTGGTTCTTAGAGAGGTTTGGTAGGGAAATTAAGGGGGATGTGACAACACCAAGCTAAACCGGCTGAAGCTGCCGGGATAACTCTGGGTTGAATTGTGAGGTCCCCGGCCTCGTTTGAATGTGTTTTTGGAAATATAATGAATGAGTCTCATAAATAAAAAAAAAGCAGCACGGGACTGCCAGGGCGAGGTTCCATTTCGCCTCCCAATTGGATTTCAAACGCGAACCCGGCCGTGTTCCTGGAGAAGTGCAGACAGACGTAACCGGTGGCTAGCAGCCACGGGACTACCAGAACGAAGTAAGGATTCGACGTGCGAATCCGGGCGTGTTTGTGGAGAAATGCAGACAGTGGGGGGGGAGGGGGGAAACTGAAAAGCTGGCAGCACGGGACTGCCAGGGCGAGGTAAGGATTTGTAAGGATTTGTAAGGATTTAACGCGCGAACCCGGCCGTGTTTGTGGACAAGTGCAGACGGTTGGGGAAAAAAAAAACCTGAAAAAACCGTAGACTGACCAAAGTAATAGGGTACCGTTGATCTCAATAGAGAAGGAACGGTCCAATAACGGAAAGACACTCCTATATATGGAAAGCACAGTTACGACCGGACGCACCACGCTCCCTCACAAGACTACCGGTCGGTGCCCGGTTGGCCACCGCGACCCTATTTCTCGCGCAAAGATGCCCTCTAAACCCACTTAGGGCCTCGCCGCACGGTGCAAGAAACGAAAGTCTTCGCTGCATAGCACCCACACGAACTGTGTCAGAAAAAACTCGTGAATGCTGTCAGCCTCCGAGTTCGCGAGGCCTCACGAGTGTGCCGACTCCTCCCTGCCTGCAGCCCTCGCGAACTCGTAGGTCCTCCGCTGGTAGGCTGGAGGAGCTGCAAAATTTCATCCAAACGAAGTCCACCCAAGAACCTTGGACCGTAGCGTCCACAAATTTGGACTGTAGCGAAACAAATCCCCCACTACTGTCGCCAGGGCGTTGTCGCTAGAGTTTTCGTGTGTGCTGTGGGGCGGTGAGACAAAAAACGAAACGAAACGAAACGGTGGATCAGGGCTTCGTGAGGCCTCGCGACTCTGGTGATCGTTTCTTTTCGTTAGTTGTCCCGTGCGGCGAGGCCCTTACCCTGTCCACGAGGTTCCCCAAATGGAAACCGCCCGCAAAAAAAAAAAAAAAAAAAGGACAGTGGGATTGCAGAGGTGAAAGTGGTGAGGTGCGGGTTGTGATGCGTTTCTCACGAAACCGCATTGCAATAAATGTTCAAGCTTTTCAACAAAAAAAAAAAAAAAAAAAAACTGCATTGCATTGCCATCGCGGTGAGACACTTCGGGCCTCGCCGCACCACTGTAGAAACGAAAAAGGTTTGAGTGCATATTCACGCAGACCGTGGCAAGATGCATCCGTTAGTATGAATAACAACGGATGAATCTTACCACTTTTCGTAGGAAGATGCATTCTTTCTTTTTCCGTTTCGACAGTGGTGTGGCGAGGCCCTTCGCCGCTGTGTGGTGTGGTGAGAGAAGTGAGAACCCCGTGGGCTGCAGGGTGATCTCGCAGAAGGAGGCTGGAGGGGGGAAGCGAAGGGTGGGCTGGGCTGGTTGTTGTTGTAGAATAGAAACAAGGATATGGTGCAAACGGTATTACGGTTTAGGTCTTCGCCACACCACTGTCGAAAAAAAAACACGTTCAAATGCATGTTCCCACAGAATGTGGCACGATGCATCCGTTCCTATGAATAGCACCAGATGCATCTGGCCACTTTTTGTGGAAGATGCACTAATGCCTTTTCGTTTCGACAGTGGTGTGGCGAGGCGACGCGAGGCCCTTTCTTTCGTCCCCTAACCGCCATATGGTCCAATCCCATGTACAATACAAGGCCACCCATGTGACGCACGTGATAAAAAGCAATCTTTTTGTGGGTCTGGCCAGGCCGTCGCTGTTCGGCAGCCAGTGGCTCCTCGACTGCGGAAAGGTCAGCGATCGGGGGCTACCGCCTTCACCCGAATAGAACGCCCGGTCATTATACTCGTATTTGGTGCAATTTTCAGTCTAGGTACAGCTATAATGACCGGGCGTTCTATTCGGGTGAAGACGGTAGGTCCCACTTACAAGAATTGAGAGATATAGACCGTAGATAGGATAGCACAGATCGGCGGTCAGAATCTCGTAATCCGTGCAAGTGGGACCTTGCCCCGGTGTGGTACACCGTCAGACGAATACTTTCGTTTTCGAAAAAAAAAAAAAAAAAAAAAAAAAAATCAAGAAAACCAATTTTCTGGCAAGTTTTAAAGTCAGACCGTTACACAACCTCCACTAAGCTGCGTAAGTGGGAGGGACTTGGCTCCCGGTCCGTAACCGCACTACTACACGTAGTAATCTTTGATGACTCGATCGGTCACGTAGTAATCTTTGATGACTTGATCGGTCGAAATATAATCCTGCGTGGCTCTGTGTGACAGCACCTTGTGTCATAATGAAACGGGGTCGCGGCAGCATTATTAGATATGAGCACGCCACCGAAATCCAACGACCGCTTCCTGTGATGTTGCTCATTGCGCGCCTTGGTCAACCGCCCCCCAAATTCGCGGGAGAAGTCAAAGGTGCTTATGTCGTCCACCACTCCCAAGGTCACGGAGAGAGAGAGAGAGAGAGAGAGAGAGAGAGTAGAAGATGCTTACATTGTCCACGAACGTCACACACACACACACACACACACACACACACACACACACACACACAGAGTAGAAGATGCTTGCATCGTCCACGAACGTCACACACACACACACAC